ATTAAGGCCATCCAAACGGGCCCTAAGTATCTCCTAAAATTCTGTCTATTTATATCAACTTTGAGTATTCATACAAGTTTAAAGGATTTGGAAGTACCGCTTGCAGTTCTTTTCCTCTCATCTCAGCTAATTATTCATTCTTTCTTCTGAAACATGTTCTCGTCATAGAGATGTGGCACATTATTATGTGTGTTTCTGTTGTTTGGTTGCATAGGCATTGCTACTGCCACTGCAACCGAACCCAAAACAGAATCGTTTGATACTTCTTCAATTCGATTGTGGCCACGATGGTGGTGGTGTACTCACCCAAAATACCATCACCACCAACTCATGCGGCTCCATATCCATCTCCGATTGACAATGTGGCTTCACCAACGCATATGGCTCAATCCCCAGTTGATGATGTGGTTTCGCCACCGCACACCACTCCAACCAAAACTTGCATCAAGGTGGACGGTTGTGCATCAGATTTGATCACTTTCGTTTTCAAGCGTAGAATTTCATTATCCACTCAATGCTACCAAGTACTTTCAACAATTTCAGATGATTGCTTTTACAGAGAGTACAAACACTCAAAGAGGGGACCATTTTTCCTTGGAAAAGTGAGAAACTATTGCAGCCATGCCGTTGATAATGCTGCTCCATCTCCATCTCCGGTTGCTTTACAAACTCAGGAATCTCCATCTCCATCTCTGGTTGATAATTCAGCTTAACCAACTCATGCATCTTCATCCCCATCCACAGTTGATGATGTCATTTCTCCATCACACATGGCTCCCTCTTGGACGGCTCCAACCACTTCTTGCATCAAGGTGAATGGTTGTGCATTCAATTTGATCACTTCATTTTCAAGGGTAGAATTTCATTATCCACTCAATGCTTCCAAGTACATTCCAATTTCAGATGATTGTTTTTACAGATAGTTCACAGACTCCAAGAGGTACCCTTTTTCCTAGGCAAAGTGAGGAAATATTACAGTCATCATCAAGCCCGAAGCAAAAGAACAGGATAAGGCACATTTTTTCTCTTCTTTTTGTTAGATCATTTAGTTTACTTTATATAGGATTCTGCCCCTAAATAGGTGTTAAAAGGGGTGGTAGTTAATTACTTTCGATTATATGTTTTTTATTAGTTCAAGTGGATCTTCATCTCTATTTTAAAGTTTAATTACTACTCTCTCCGTGCATATTTATTTGTCGACTCTTAACAAATCATTTTCTATATCACTCCTAGATTATTGATAATGTTAGCTATGGAGTATATTAGTGACGATTCTGAAATTGAGAGCTATAGAGTATTCTCAATACAATCCAAATATTACGGATATAATCCAATATTAGCTATAAAGTTGAATAAGAAAGCAGCAAGGCATGGATAATGAGGCTGGTTGCACCTTTTATGTCCCGACAAAAAAAAGGTCTTATTGATATTACCATATATTATTCATCAGAGAAATCAATACACAGATAGATTTATAATCAATTAAGCTATTTCCTCAAAGAAAGTGTATAGTACTATAAAAATAGTCACCTAGTATAAGCAATATCAACAACATAGATACGAATGAATCATCATTTCTCAATGTAAAAGGATGTCAGCAAAGAAACCATAAGCAACACTATATTGAAAATCTAACTCAACACTGTTAATACCAAATTAGGCCAACTGTCTATAGAAAATAAAACAGAACTTTTCATACTTCAAGAAAGGAGAGAGGAAATTACTAAAACCATGGGAGATCAAGGTTTAAATTTAATCCTTGTCGAGCAATGTAAAACAAGTGCATAATCCTACCCAATCACTACTTAAGTGCTTAAAAGCACCTAAAATAAACCAATTCAAACAGGCTCTATGTTTCGAATATAATTTGTACATCACTGAGACATAGTTTTAAGCCAAACTATCAATAAAATTGTGAATACTACGTTATGTTTTCTCTATTATTTGATACATCCTCTATTATTAAGGATGCTATATACAGACACTCACACAAAATTGGTGAAACGTGTAGTAGACCACATTAACTTCTTTCGAAATTAAAACATTATTATAATTGACGATAGAGGACCAAGTGCAGTGCACGTGTCTGGAAACTATTAAAGTAAAAAAGAAAAATGCTGACAGGAACTACGGGCTATACAAGCAAATATATTCAATGTTGTGTCTCATTATCAAGGAAAAAACATATTCAATGCCTCGTCCTATATTTGATAGAAAAGAAGTGAAAAAAGAGCATAGAAGCTAAATTAAGCAGAATTCTTACCAGTAATCATAAGGGATTAACAATGCTTTTTACATATATTTCTACCGGATTGCATCTCATGAGATCAACAGTGTGCTCTAGCTTTCTTTTTGAACCCCCAAATACGAGTATAACTCCGGGAAAGGAAAGTAAAATGTCGCCCTTGGTTGAGTGGCGAAGATGTGTAGAGTATAGGGTGGGTGTCTTAGAAGAACAATCCCCCTCCCTACATGTGCATTAACTTCATACTTCCCACTGTTGGTTGACGATGTCAGATTATAGCAATGTATTTTGGCTTTGACACATTCTAATTTCGAACTGCTTCAACATTGATCTGATTTGTTCTTCTTGAGTAGTGTTGCATTTCACTTTTTTGTGTAGATAGTAGTGTGAGTGTCAAACTGATTCTGATGATTCTCGGAATTTCTAGACATGTATGACTGCGCGTTAGGATAAGTTTCATAGGGATGAGTCTTTAGCAGTTAAACCTGTGCCTTATGGGTTTTGTACTTCAAATCTATGATGTCAAGTAGTTTTTGGTGTCATTCTTTTGACACAAATCATTCATCTTTTCACATATGAAAAAATATTGATACTCTAGGTGACTTACAAATTTTGTTATTGTTACATCGAAAGAAACATACAAATACTCATGGGACGTGCATGATGATGTGATTTCAAGTTGTATTTCCTTCCACATATAAGATTCTTCTTCTTTAAAATTTTGTCTAAAACCTGCGAGTGGATACTACTAGTTATCTTCCACGATGCAGACCTCGAGCATGCACAGATCACGAGGGGACATTTTATTCTTCCTCCATGATTCCTTTGTGCCTAAAGTTAAAACACAGTGTCTTTTTACCTTATAGACAATAAGTCCCAAATGAAAAATAAACTGTTAATGCAATCCAACCGAGAAAATGCTGGGGATGGTTGTAAAGTTCATTAGATCTCTCAATTTGTCCCCCCAAAAAGGCAGTCTTTTCCATCTTCTTTTTGCTCAGCAGTGTGAAAAACTGATTTCATATTTGGATTAGTAAGGTAAGGATTAACACCATGGAATATTCGCTTTATGAAAAACCCAAAGGTAACGAGACTTTGTACATAACTACAATTGCCTCGAATGAGAACTTGCAGTACTTTGCTCAAAGTTATATATGTTGTATCACTCACTTTTGGTTTTAGATAGTGAATTAGTGAAATCAATTAGCGTTATGACATGACAGGTCCAATTCATATTTATACGCATTATACTTCATTAAAAGGTGTAATTCAAACCTATCAAGTTATTGACAGGTCCAAGGAAAGTCTTTTTTCACTTCTTCTTAGAGGCTGATTACAAGCTTAGCCTTGCACTCAATATCCTGTTTAACGTCTATTCTTCTGGTTTGGTAGGATGATTGATCAAAAACTTTGTTTCCTCTCATCCCCGTGGGAGTATGGACCGTATCTCAGTTCCAATGTGGCTAATTATCCAACTAATTAAGCGGAATGTCTCAGTATCTCCTCATTCCCTTCTACTATATGTTACAATTCTGCTATGATCTTTTCTATTGTCTTAGTTTGAGTTTTCTATCAAAGAAATCAGTACTCTATTATTGAAGGATTGACACATTCACTTCAAGACCCTATCGGTAAAATTGTCAAATCTAAATTTTAACAGTTATATTTGTCGGAAGTGGATGAAGGGGATGAGTTGGAAGATTCAGTAGAGGATCAAGGGAATATCTTATAAGAATCGCAGAGTGATACGTTAGATTTGGGGAAACCTGTGGAGCACATGGAGATCTCCATGCATGCTTTGTTATTCTTACAATAACTTGTATTTATGAAGTTAATGAACAGAAACAGAAACAAGATGAAGCAGAAAAAATTTAAAATAGAAGAATTAATCCGAGTCCACGAAAACTACTGTGTGTCCTTAAGAAATTTAATCCCCTCACTGTACCCAAGGTTATGGATTAATTTCTCTCAAGATAAAACGGATTAAACCTGTTAAAGAAATAGCGGTACCTCAAACTTCTTTAACTTCAACGAACTGAAGAACAGCAACAAGTCACACAGACTCAGTCGATCGACACTTTGATTTTATTTGAGAGAAAAATAAATGCAGAGAAAGAAAAATTTTCAGTTCTTTAAAAAAT